TATATATATATATATATATATATATGTTTATATATATATGTTTTATATATATGTTATATATATATATATATATATATAATATATATGTTTATATAATATGTTTATATATATATGTTATGTTATATATATATATATATATATATGTTTATATATGTATATATATATATATATATATATATATATATATATATATATATATATATATATATAATATACGATATATAATATATATACATACATATATACATACATACATACACATGTCTTTCCCATTGCTCCACCACTTCCTTCCCTTTTAGTTTCTTTCTTTTCCAACCTGTCATTTGTCTCCTTATTCCTCCCCCTCTCTTTCCTTGTCTTTCTCTTTCCCTCCTCTTCTCCTCCTTTATCTGCTCCTCCTTCCTCCTCCTCCTTCTTTAGACCTTCTGCCTTCTCCTGTTTTCTTCCTCTTTCTTCCTCCTCCTCCCCCAAATTTTTATGACTAATTTAACTGTATCTTTGGTGTACTATATATCCCCTGATTACACTGCACATAATAGTTGCTTCACTGTGAATGAATATTTATGCTATAGGCTCTTGAAAAAAAATATTGATTTCAAGAGAGTCTGAAATTAAAGTAAGAAATCCTTGATTGTAAAGCAATGAAGTTTATATAATTTTTAAATATTAATGATTCTTAATCCAGATTCTTTTATTGTTTTTCTAATTTTATTTGTCAGGTTTGTTTTGTTTTGTTTCACAGTTGCAGTCTTCGAGTTTTATGCTTATTTTTATTCCATTACATAATTTGTTTCTGTGTCTTTCTTTTTATATATGCAGACTTAGAAAAAAGGAATACACTAAGACCAAAGAAATATATGTAATCTAAGGTTCCAGCGATAAATCAGTAAAAAACATTATATAACCATTTTATTGTATGTTATATTTTCACTTTTGTGTTGATCTCTACATGTTCATGATGAAAGTATAAGTTAAAAAATTTTAAGTTCTTTGTGGTAAATTGTAAGTTACGGGTATATAAAAGTTACCTACTGTACGTACATGTGAACTTAGGTTATGAATGTAATAGACTTCATATGCATACATTTGCAGATTTAGGAGGTGTAACATACTTCACACTTTTCCTCCTTTGGGGCAGATCCAAATTTTGTGGTTCTATAAATGACTGATTGAGAGCACATGCTAATGATATTCATTTCTAACACACAGATCCTGTTTATGGTAAGGGAACGGCAAGAATTTATTATTGAGGCAGCTATGTATTAGTTTTAGTTCAGTTTTGTTTTCTTCAGATTTCCCATAACATTTTTATTTTCATCCCATAGGCCTGTGTGTGCAATCCCAAACTAAAAACACGAGTTTGAGTGAGGAGGATTGATACTAAGATTTTTGGAATGATGTTGATTTGTGAGATGTAGCTACAAAATACATCCTTTTTTTTTATGTCTGTAGATGATAGAGTTGTGATTTATGTAATGGGTTATAAGAATGTTACAAGTATTGTATATCTAATCTAGGCACATAATGATATTTAGTTTGAATGATACTTTGTATATCCTTTGTAATTACAAAGTTACAGGTTACATCAGTATTTAGATATATATCTTAAAGGGATGATTCTTTATACCTTAACCTGTTGTACCTTCTATTCTAACCAAGATTTAGATTGCTAAAGAGAAATGTTTATTGGGTTAGCATAGCTAATGTATTTTATTCCAGATGATGGAGAAAACTAATTGTTGAACACTATACTATTCTAGGTTTTCTGTTTTCTCCCTATCCAACTCTTCATCCATGTCTTTTCTTGTTCCACCATGTTTTCATCCCCCACCTCCTTCCTTCCTCCTCCTCCTCCTCCTCTCCTCCTCCTCCTCCTCCTCCTCCTCCTCCTCTTCTTGTATTATTGATATTATACTCGTTATTACGTTGTTAGTAGCACTGTTGGATGATTATTAGTACAGTCCACACCAAAGCAAAGTCTTGTGATACTTGGCTTTAGATTTCTAGGATCTTCCAGTGATCTGCAATTTTTCTCATTGTCAAGGAAGCAGTTGTCTCATTATTGTTCATAGTAGTTTTGGCTCCACTGTGCATTGGTTTGATGAAGCTTATGTACTTAATAGCGTGATAAATTTGTTTTCCATACAAGATCAAAGGTAATAAGTTCTGTTCATGGTAACAACCTTGGTTGATCATTAGCCCCACCCACACCAGAGAAGGGTAACTAATAACAGTTGTGGCTCTAGTATCTGGCATCTTATAGTGATCTCTCCGTTTTATCTACCAGGAAAGATACTACTTCAGAATGGCACATAGTCTTGAAGTCTTTAGCACTGCTGAAACCTATTTCTTTACTATTTTCATTCAACAGATCTTTGTTTTTCTTCAGAAGTTTTCAGTTTTTTTCCTTTTTTGTACATTTATTTTTATGTCGTAAAAAGAAGATGAAACTGAGAAGTGTCTTATTTGAGGGCAGTCTGTGATATTTTCCTCAGGTATTGAAACTGAGAAGTGTCTTATTTGAGGGCAGTCTGTGATATTTTCCTCAGGTATTTTCATCCTTCTCTGAGATTGTAAAATTTAAAAATATGTCTTGTTTTGGGGTTAATCTGTGATATGTAGTGTTATTGACAATATAATGCATGAGAATATTTGATTCTGACTAGCAATTTGTGCTTTGACATGTTTTCAGCTTCATTGAGTAGGGAATGGCTTCAATAAAGTTCTGTTTTTTTTTCAGAACACATTAACTCAGGCATTTTGAATTAGATAAGGACTATTTACCTATTCAAAATATTTACATCTATTAAAAAATGAAAGCAATTCACATAAAATATCAAAGTGATTATAATCAATGATGAAGTAGAGCTATTCTTTATAGAAAGTAAACACTTCCAAATATTTCAGTTATTTCTAAACTTTCTGAAATTATCATTAAATTTTTGATGGTCAAACTTAAGGGTATAAGATTTGAAATAAAGTTTTGGGAAAGTTATTAATTACAGAAAAGTATTTTCCATAATTTAAGTTAGATTCAGTTAAAGAAATAATGTTAGACTTGAATCTTTATGGAAATGTTTTGTCAATCACAAGTTATTTTTGATGTGTGTGTGTGGTCATTATTAGGAGTTGTATGAAAAAGTACAAGGGAATTTGGGTAATGCAAGAGGCATAGACAGGAATGATAATAATAAAATATTTGAAAGGGGAAATTTTTATACATTGCAAAGGAAAAGAAAAATTTTATTTGATAAACTTGGTTTTGTTGTGATATTTGTAGTATACTTGAGTATCACATGGGACATCCTAAGATGGAAAATAAATGGAACAGATGACATTTTTTTAGGCTATACACCTATCATTTTATTGTGTATTTAAAGACTTACCAAAAAAAATCATAATTGATACACAGTTTTATAAAGTTACTAATCATATTGTGTATTTTTCAGATACAATGGTTTGCAGTGGTTGCTGTGCAACATTGGACCATGTGGTCACATACCTGTACAAACTTTTGCATCAGAAAAGTAAGTAAAATGTTATATTCCACCTTAGACTAAGACTTGCATGTGCTCCTTTGTCCCATTGCAGATACGATGGTGTGCACTGGCTGCTGTGCGACCCTTGACCACATTGTTACTTACCTCTTCAAGTGCTTACATCAGAAGAGTAAGTACAGTTTTCAGCAGTGGTATATATTGATGTTGCTTGTGTATCTGCTGATGGCTTTGGTTATGGTATCGTCTGGGTAGATATACCATTGATGTGTATGTAATGTGCAATTGGTGCTCTATAAATATTTAACATGATTTATTTATTTTATTCTGTTCTATTATTATTATTATTTTAAGTTTCAGCACAACTGTAGTTTAGCTACCTTTTTTGTATTTTATATTTTGATATAAAAATTTACTTGATTTGGGAGTGAAAGACCCCTCATTTTTTGTCAAAAATAAACAATCTTATGCTGTATTTGAGAACCATTCATTGTAAACCCTCTAAGTGAAACAGTATCTCACAAGTATTATTAATTGTCAGTCTGTCCCTGTAATCCCCCATTCGTTAGTGTAGTAATGTATTCTTAAAGAGTTTGTAAAAAGGAGTATGTACATTATTTTTTGTTTGTATAACCTTTGGAAGCAGAGCAAAGGGGCTAGTGAGAGTAGCTTTTGGATTTGTTTTTGTTTCTTTACTGCTGTTAATATTCTTTTATTACTGGTCTTGTCCATCAAACTCATCGAACCTCCCTTATTTGAAACATGATCTGTAAGACACTTTAAATGCTGTGAAGGAATATGGTTTTTGTTGTTTATCATTATGCAAGTTTGTGTGTGTGTAGAAGGGCATCTGAATTTTATTTGAGAAGAATCATAAGATCCTATTAATATGTTGCAATATGTAACAGACTTTGAAAAATAACAAGTGTTTAAAAACCCTGTCATGATAGGGCCAGAATTTTCTATGACCTGATTATTACGCAAGTTTAGTCTTTCTGGCAGGGTCTGTGCTGTGAACAGCTGGCCCACCTGCTTGTGAGTTAGTACATGATTACATCATGACAGCTACAGCTGCACCCATCACTGAAGGGTTAACTTGTTGGAATATGTTTCTCTGTATATATTTAGATACATAAAAGTTTGATTACTAAAAGTGAGGTAATGAAAGATACAGTTATAATGCACAGTTAAAGAATGATGTCTCTGCTTTTAATGTTGTGGGAAAAGCATAGTGTCTTTTATATTTAATTTTCTCTGTCAACTTTTTTTCGGTTTTGTATTTTGAAAGTGATTTGTGCCGTTGGAAAGTGTTGGGTGCTTGCAGAGACTCCCGAGAATTATTTGATTTTGATTGCTTCTTTTAGTCTGAAGTCATACCATAATGTCAGTCCATAGTTTGCCATTAAATCAAGTATAAAGTTGAGTACAGTTTCAATACAAACACCTGACTAAGGGAGGTTCTGATTGTTGTATGACTCCTCCACTAAACATCTCTCATTGCAGGCAAAAAAGGCACAGTGGACCTGGAGTCAGATGCCCTTGTAAGGGTTATGAAACACCAACCATCCATCCTGCAGCAAATGCTAGCCACTGTCCTTAACATCATCATGTTTGAGGATTGTAGGAATCAGTGGAGCATGTCCCGTCCACTGCTACCACTCATTTTGTTAAATAATGAGGTAATTTTATTTGTTTGCAGTTTGTGAAAGGGTCTATCTTTGCTTTTTATGAACATAAATTACCTAACTTCTGAAAAGAGAGAAATAAAAAAAATGGTGTGAGACATGATTAATGCAAAAATAATTATTTCTTGTTTAACTAGTGATATAATACTACAGTCCATTCTGCATAGATTTGAATTGAAATGAAAGATACGTTATTTGGGAGAAACTTTTCTAATTATTTCCCACAATTCCACAGTATTTTGGACAACTGAGGCAGCAAATTATCAGTCAACAAGCACCAGACAAGCAAGGAGCAATGGCCCAGTGGTTTGATAGTCTGATGGAGGGCATTGAGCCAAACCTCCTTACTAAGAATAGAGACAAGTAAGTTTTGCCATAGGGCAATTTTTTCAGGACTTGATAAATCTGTTAAATATTCAAGGTTTGCCTTGGGTGAATTGATCAAACGTCTTTCTGCTCCATTGAGTACAAGAATATTTGTTATTTTGATTTGTTTCAGGTGAGTGGGTGTTGTTCTCATTTGAGTGTTGATTAATTATTGTGGCTGAATTAGGAGATTGAAAATGTATATATTTCAAATGAGGAGAGAAATACTGTAAGTAAATTTGCACTCCTGTCCTTTTCAGATTTACTCAGAATTTGTCTGTGTTCCGCCGTGATATCAATGACTCACTCAAGGGACCAGTGACTAGCAGTAGTGGCAGTAGTGGAAGTGAAATGATGACATCGTGACGGCAACACTTTCACCAGAACGGTCTCCATTACAATCCTCACCATAATACCAGCCACCCCCAACATCGTCGCCGCTGCTATTCCCTCTCCACCACAACCACAATAACAGAATCTGCCATAGCGAACACGACCATAAATGTTGTGGCAGATACCAACAGCAACCTTGTGCTCATATGTGGTTGACCTGAATATGGCCACGTGTATTAAAAAGTCATTTTGACTTTACCAAGTTTTGAATCATATTTTGTAATTCGTAAATTTTGCAAGGAGAAAAAAAAATAAAGGGTTACTTTTTTGTACAGTAATGACAAATGGGACCTGACTGAACTAATGTAGCATTTTGTGTTGTTTTCAATGAATTAGATTCTTAAGTCTCACCAAAGGAAACTTGTAATGTCTGTCCATGGTAGAAACAGTGTGGTCATGTCCATGTGCATCCTTACCTGAGCAAATGTACTGCTGTGCCTCCTTCATCCAGTGACTGACAGGATTCTTTTTAACAGTATGGGAAATGTATGTCTCCTCTTAATACTGAGGGAAGAGAGTAATAAATCTTGAACTTGTGGAAATTTTTATGTCATTATTTAAGTTGCCCATAAATTTTAGTAATAATTAACATTTGCGTAACTTAGTTGGGAGCACAGCAATGTGTGTAGTTGTCATGATAGTGCAAAAATACATGGAGAGAATAAAGGTAAAAATGATTTTTAGCATCTAGGAGGGGGTAAAGACCATGAAAATCACCAGTTTAAGAATAACTTTGATCATTTTTAACATTGAAATACTTTCCTTTTCAAAAATACCTAGTAATAAATGTTACACTGTTGTAACAATAATTTTATAGAATATATTTCCTTCAAGTATAATTGGCAGTTGCTTCTTTTTGAGGATAGGTAAATAAATGAAAAAGTAATAAGTAAGTAAGTAGTGTGTGACACTGATTATTGTCAATATATTGTATGGCATGAGATGTGGAATTTTATTCCTCTATGTATTGTTGACAGATATTTGTCTGTCTATGACAGATTAGCAGTTCTTGCTTCATTGAAAAGATTCAGAGTTGGTATTTTTAACCAATTTCCATCATTATGCAATGTCATTAGCTATATGTTTATGTTATTTTATATCTGCCACCAGGAAAAAGTACGCAATATTTTCATCTGTAAAGTTAATTTCATGTATATATTCTACAGAAATAGTGCAAGATTTCTTTTTCCTGATTTAAAGTTGCAAATGAAAGTCATATAATGTATACCTCAGTCACTTACTCTCCTGGCCAGATATGCAAGATTTGTCTAGTAACACAAAAATGAGAGGGGCTTGTACATTGCCAGTTTCACTTTCAGTTTGAGCCTCTTATGCGCAAGGAGAGCAGCTGTAAGTACCTACCAGCCAGTGTAGTAAACCCTTACCACTTATAAACTAAAGGAGACTTGTACAATGTTTCTGTGATGGAATGACATATTGTTTAAATAAAAGGACAAAGTATGTTTGGTATGACTCTCTTTTTGTATTTACTTCCATAAGTGTAAAATATAAAATTGACACCCATAGACTGCAAGTGCCCCCTGGTAGTATTCCAAGAT